GTAGGCAATAGTGCCCTAAACCATTATGCCACATTGTCGTGCGGTGGGACGTTCCACAGTTACTGCTGGATTAGATCTGTCTCCATGTCGACATCACACACGTATGGAGCGACTGTCACTGGATAAACAGAAGCGTGACTCATCTGAGAACATGACGTTTCGCCATTCTGCAATCCACATCGCTCCAGTCTGCCACCATTCTAAATGTTGGCGTCCATGCTGTGGGGTCAATGGCAGTCTTAACGGACGCCATAAGTGCAGGCCACGTTCAACCAATCGACGGGAGATGGCTCTGGTCGACACGGGAACATCCAGGGTATCTTGCACATGCTGCAGAATCACAGTACAGGTGACTTGCAGAACCGTGCTTGCATCCATGTGGGTATCAGCTGCGATTTGACGCAAGGACCAACCCGCCCTTCTCAGTCCAATCACCATACCCCTCGTGAAATCATCTATCTGCTGGAAGTGCATTCGTTGATGGCGGCCTGGCCATTCTCTCCTATTACATGTATCCTCTAGGACAAAAACCAACTTTCTTCGATAATTCATCTGGCAGAAATAACGACACGGAATATTGCCCATTCTGCACGTTCCTTCCCTTATATCTTACATCACGTGCATCGGAGAGCTGCGCTTTTCACATCATTCGCATAACTCAGCGACGTGCGTCTACTTTAAAATTTGCATAAATTTCTGGCCACTCCTTCTTGGAGTTGCATTTTCAATGTCGATCGCTGTATATATATGTAATATATTCAGGAACAGGAATTTTGATGGCGTAGAAGTGTTGATCCATAATGTCTAGGAAATTGGAGGCGAAGGCAGATTAAATCTTCAGTTTTATTTTCAGCAACATGTTGCGGCAACACACAAGTCGGCATGTTAAATGTGCCTTTTCCAAAGGGCTTACTAGATTTGCAGCAAAAAAGAAGCAGACAGACTGCAGTCTAGCTAAGGCAAAGTGTAGAAAGAAAGTGCGTAATGTTCAGTATGTCTCAAAGCAGTTTTGATTGGATAATTAATATTGCTGTAAAATTATTATTGGCTGCTTGAGTTTTAGTTCAATTTACATCACCAGAATTACGCAAGTCATATGACATAGATTTTTCTTGAAATGACACAGTGCGAATAATGTTGCTATTTTTAGAATAGAGAAGGGAAATTAATTTAAGCTACTAATTTAATCTTTTACATATTCCCCCCCTTCAAGAAGGAAAAGGCGTAAGAGCACTAGCAAATGAAAAAACATAAATCATAAAATTTTGATCCTGTAAAGTATAATTTATAAATATCAATTTTTTTTAAAATAAATTTTAATTTTTTTGAATTTTTCACATTTCAGTTTCAAAAGTCTTTTTTGTTTGAGAGTTCACATAACCATAATTCTTCAGGTGAGGTTCTTGTTACCCACAGAATATCACAAAATAAACTTTTACATAATCAATACTTATAATTAAATGTAACGCATATAAATATTTCTGATACTAATTTCCATACTGATAAATAATTTATCACCATAAATAATAGGAGTAACATTTTTAGAAATTATAATTTCACTGTTATCTCTTCATTTACAATTCCTGATTTCATCAAACTGGAAGGCCTCGCATAATACTTCTAAACAAACATATCCATCATAGGCCATGAGCTAACCAGTGTGTTCTCTGCACTGGTGGCCAGGGTGTTCTGTGCACTGGTAATCCAGGGTGCCTAGGCAGTTTACTTGGCCTCCGTTCCTTGCATAAGGTAACTGCCCTTTGAGAATTGCACTAATACATACCACAATAAAAAAAAAGTATAATAATATAAAAAAAATACACACACTCATAAAATAAGAGCCTCCAACATTATCTTACATGAAGAGGGTAAAAGGAACAACTGTACAGAGGTCATTACAGGCCTATCTTTAGAAACCAGTGCTCCCTCAACATACTCTATACTTAACACACAATCACCCATAAATTTTAACATGCATCTAACATAATTTCATATTACTTTTCTGTACTAATTTCACTTATTTTTTACTCTACTTCATTTTTAATTCGTATTCAAAATTTTCAACAAAATTTCAAAAATATAAAAACTTATTTTTATAGCCTTCCCTAAAAATAATTAAAAATCTAAGAATTCTTTACTTACTTTACTGAATTATTAAAATTCAGAAGTTCTAATATTAAATTATATTTCTTTATATCAGAGTGTTCATTTTTAATGTCCAATTTATTAAGAAAAAATATCAGTTCCCAATGTAGATTCAGTTATGCAAAAGCAGAAGTGAAAATAATTTTCTGGCACCTACTTTAAGTGTAAATTTAATCCCATAACTGCGAATTTATTCGCGTAAGAGCCCGATCAAGATATGCAGTTTGATGACCTTGAAAGCACGGAAATGATTTGACACGTTAGCACTCGGACTGTAAACAAACGCTGAATTAATTTTGAAAGGCTGGCACTAGATTTCAAAACACTCACAGCAAATCTATGATTCGATTTCTTTCACATTTTTATATTGCTATTGAATTGTGTTGCACTTATTAAATCACAGCATATGGTGGATTAAATTTCAAAACATGGATTTTGACTTTAAATACACTTGTTTTGGAACAATTCGATGTAGTTGACTTGCTGATACCAGGTTGTGCACATAAATTGATGGAGCTGTACATAAATTGAAGGAGCCGTACATAAATTGAAGATACAGGCATTAATTAACTAATTCGCTTTCGCAGTCATAGCCACAATTTGGGTGATAACACTTCTGTGAAGAACAGGCACACTTTGACGATTTAAAACGCTTTTTTTTTCTTTTTCTGAACATTTAAGAGATAGCTGTACACTTCGTTTTCACGACATTAGCATTTTTGGACTTGCAGGTACTCAATATCCATTATGAATTTTTTTTTACACATGGAAGTTTGAGGAGATGGTTGGTTATTGCAGATATTTCTACTGGAATTCCAACGCACAGAACATGTATCCTGATCACTTAATAGTAATATATTCAGGAGCAGGAATTTTGATGGTGTAGAAGTGCTGAACCATAATGACTAGAAAATTGGAGGGGAAGGCAGATTAAATCTTCAGTTTTATTTTTAGCAACATGTTGCAGCTACACACAAGTCAGCACATTAAATGTGCCTGTTCCAAAGGGCTTACATTTTTGATAGATTTGCAGCAAAAAAAGAAGCAGACAGAGTGCAGTCCAGCTAAGGCAAAGCGTAGAAAGTGCATAATGTTCACGATGTCTCAAAGCATTTTGATTGGATAGTTAATATTGCTGTAAAATTATTATTGGCTGCTTGAGTTTTAGTTCAGTTTACATGACCAGAATTACATAAGAGTCATATGACATAGATTTTTCTCGAAATGACACATTGCAAATAGATGTTGCTATTTTTAGAATAGAGAAGGGAAATTAATTTACACTGCTAATTTAATCTTTTACATATTCTTTATTTTTCTTACACACATATATATTATTATTAATTTTATTTTCATTGTATTTAAAAGTATTTTGATAAATAATGCATTCCTTTCTACTTAGGATAAAAATTTTAAGAAAATCAAATGAAATTATTCAGTGAACACAAAATTTAGAATATATAATTAATACAATATTTGATATTTAACAGCATAATCACATTCTAAGTTGTTTAATAACTTGAAATAAAATGCATTATGAAGTGAATTTAAATCAGTTCAGGAGTTCTTTTGAAATGCATCACTGTGCAGCATGAAAACCTTGGGGAAACTTGTGGTTTTTCATATTTCAAGGTTGGCAGCTATGCAAAGGCGACTTCCAAAGTGTATACTTTTTACTGTCAGGCTAAAATATTTTAATTGCTAAACAAATCAATGATATATATTTTAATACTTGCAATAACAGCGTAAACTATTTTTGTGGGAAACAATATTGAATTATTTCTGAATCCTTAATATATCTGTCTTTACTGAGAATCTTAATATACCTTAATCTATCTTTCTTTACTACTTATTTCTGAATCCTTAATATTTCTTTTTTGAGGTGTAATTTATCATATATGGTACATTGTTGTTTAAATGATTTTTCATATTCGTATAATTTTTCAAATTCCTTTCATATTCCTAAGAAAAATTGCTTTTCCTGTAATATATAGTAAAGATTTTTTTCATGTGATACAGAGGCAATTTATTTCTGTTTTGGGCATTATTCTAGTGCTTATGCATATATTTATTTAATTTCATAAATCTTTAATGATTAATCTTAAACATTTCAATTACTTTATTATATTAAATTTATATAAATCAAATTGCATTAACTTTCAAAACACAATTAAGTGTTATTAAATATGCTCCTGATGTGATGCTGTTGAGAGAATACATAGAATTCATTAGAGGAAGTTTAAATAAGCTGGGTTTTGAAATTGATGAACACAATTTCTAATGTAAGGTTTTTCCTGTATGTATAAATCTATAATATTTTAAATGAAAATATTAAAACATTCACTTACAATATTACATAAAATTAAGTACAAGACAAGTTTTTCTACTTTACTTTTACATTGTTCTGTTTATAATTAATTTGCATTTTTATTAATATACTATTAAAGTATTTTTAATTAAAAGATTACAAGATCACTGCCAGTAGTCATCTGTAAGATAAACACCTCCATAGAAAACCAAAGTGTCTGGAACTGTTGGTGGTCATCATAGATCGGGGTCATTGCTTTGAAAAATGCAGGAATGTTTTATAGATGAGGCTGTCTTATATTTGTAATTTTTTGTTCCTCTAATATAGAACCTGTAGTTGTATATTAATAAGAGAAATAATAAGCAGAATAAAAAAAGTTTGAATACTTATATTGAGAATAGTCTGTTATTAGTAATCAAAGAAATAAGAGAGCATGATAAATGTAATATCTGTGAATAGGCAATTATTAATAACTGGAAAGCAGAAATGTAAGTCTGTTTGAGTCGATAATTGTATGTGTATAAAACATTTCTTATTTTGATGGCAGGTTGGTGTTACACCAGAAATAGTAGCAGCTTTGTATACTGATGATGTTCAGCAACAACTTTTTGCTACACAGAAATTTAGGAAACTTCTTTCTCGAGGTAAGAGAAATTAATTTAATCTGTACTGATACTTTTGGTTTCATAACAAAACAGCTTTGATATTCTAATGGTCATCATTTATGTAGTTTATGAAAGGAAATTCCTTTCATGCATATTGTTAAGTGTAAACGAAAATAAGTATAAATATACCTATTAAAGGTGAGATTGTAAATGTTAACTTCATAATGACTGCAGGTAAAAAATCCCAATATTGCATTTTACACCAATGATTTGTTAAATTATTACATTTTAAAAACAAAAATGTTTTAGGAAAGGAATTTCAATATAGGTAATCTATGAAATGCCTAGCAACATGGTAATGAATTGTTATTAACAAGTTTCTTTTTCTTTCTTTCTTTCTTTCTTTCTTTCTTTCTTTTTTTTTTTTAAAGTGAGGGATAGTTACAGAATAGTGACTAAATTTTTTTTTCCAGAACCTAATCCTCCCATAGATGAAGTTATTCAAACTGGTATTGTTCCAAAGTTTGTTGAATTTTTACAGCGGGATGACAATTCAACACTTCAGGTATGTGTCGGTAGTTTTATGTATTTATTATGAAATTTTCAGTGACGTATATGATTATTTCAAAATGAGTACTCAAAAAGACATTTTTAGATTTTAAGAATTTCATTTTTCAGAAAGACCTAACCAATATGCTAGGGCAACGGAATTAATTTTCATTCTGGGTTTTGTTACCTCTGGCCAAATGGGCTAGCTGTTAAGCATTTTGTAATATTTCTTGTGTTTCGTATATAAAGCTTTCATGGATATGTTTCTTCTGAGATAGACTGGATTTGCTGATGCTTAGACATGAAGGGAGGAAATGTAAATTTTAATCAGCTATGCTGATCAATTGTTGGAAACAAAAAACAGGATGAACTATCGGAAATTCATAGCGATAGCTTCCATGTTTCGTAAGTGTGGCCTTTTTTTTCCTCAAATATTCAAGTCATTTAGCTTTTGAGTTCTTTGGAAAAGAATAATGTAATAGCTGTGTAAGCAGTTAGCTGTGGATTTTGTAGCTTGGATTTGAAAAATGCAAGAAATATTGATAATAAAACACTTGCATAATAATTGCACTGTTCTCAAGTACTCAGTGATTTGTTTTAGCTTTGGAAAACATTAGAAAATTGCTTAAACTCAGCATTGCATAGTTGACGACCCTGCACACATTGTAATTTCTCTATGTGTATACAGCAATCTTTTTTTTTTTTTGGAAATATGCCTTAGCACGTGTTGATGTTTTACCATGTAGAGTGATCTGTTTTCAATTGGAGGGGGGGGACAGAAGCATACAAATTTTGATCCTAAAATTCGATCCTTCATGAAGTACAGCTTTGTTGAATGCAAATGTTTTGCGTTTTGTATTGTTGGGCAGATTACGATATTTCCGATTAAATGCAATGTTTTCATTTCATCAGGTGGCAAACCGCACAGTCTTGTTATGATTCCTCACAGGAAAAAAAAGCGCACTCAATACAACAAAAACACTCTTGGCCATTGAATTTTTGGAAGTGGAAAAACATGGACTCCGTGCTCATCTGCTGTTTGCATTCATTCCTGGGTTGCCGCATAAATACATTCTAGCAACGTTATGGGTTGCCTATTTTTGGCAGCATAGTGCATTCCCTTAAAATACTTTTCAGGTGGTTGTGGATAGTCAGAAAGTACCAATAATATTATTAATAATTCTAAAATTTAAAAAATTTCCAGTTACTTGAGCTTTATGGTTAGTTTGAATGCTGGATAGTCAAGTTTTTACTGTACTAAGTTGATGTTGAAAATTTAGACCATTAGAGGTGAAACAAAGCTGTACGAAAAAAAGCATTCTGAATTTGTGGTCCGTGAAGCCTGCGTATGTGGTTCTCGTAGATTTCCAGAAAATATAAGACATGGAATTCAGATTAATTGCATATATTACAGTATAGCTGAAAATCCCAAAGTTTGGAAGTTACAGATGGTAATTATTATCACTTTTTTCTATTAAGGCTCGATATTTTATGAAATTTACTATCGGTTATCTTACTTACGTACCTCCTACTGTAGTCTTGGTGACAAAAGAGGCATTTAAATACTATTACTGTGTTGCTTGTTACCAACTTATATCCAAACATAACAGCTATGTTAGAATCAGCAGGCTCATCCGATTAATACAAGTGCAAATGTTTATTTAACTTTTAGTTAGCAATGTAAAGATTATCCAAACTCCTTGCCTTGAATAAAGCCTTGAATTATTAAAAGCAAATATGAGTTTTCTTCCATTAACTTAATTACCATTAATGAATTATAAATAAGAATTAAATGAATTTTTAACTAATTGTATTTTAAAAATACATGTATACTGGTTGTAACGGTTTTTTTTTTAGTTGATTTTTGAAAGGGACAAGAGTAAGGTGGGCTGCAAAACATTTCAGTTTATAAAAGTGGTCTCTGCCTGAAAATACTACTCTAAAATAAAGTTGCAGCAGTAAAATATAATGCAGCCCATCTACTCCTCCCCACCAATGAAGTGGGTTTAAATTTACCTTTAAGTGGAGGAATATAGTGTCTTTTCCATGCCAAGAATAATGAATCCTAGTCTGAAGGTTATGTTTAAGCTGAAGCTAAGCCCCTAAGCTAAATGTCATCTACAGAAACTATTTTCAGGAACATAACTGCATGTGCTAGAAATTCTCTAATTGTCTTTGATTATAGTTTATCAAAAACTGCTTACATTTTTCTCATTCTCTATTGGGGCATAATTGTTTGATTGCTGGTTACATATTCATAAGTTAATTAATGGCATTATGTTGTATTAAAATATTTCAAAATTCAATCATAATCAGATAACGATGCAGTACATAGTCTTGTTGATCTTTCTTATAAAAGTTTTAATGTATGATATACTGTGAGAAGAAGATTCTAAATTTTCAGTTTATTTCTGTCAAATATGTCTGTAAAAATATAAATTTTGGCATTAAGGTGGAATTTTGTTCTTTTATTTCTATTTAATGTTGAAATATTCTATTAAACTGTTGTAATGTATTATGTAATTGCACTACAAAATGTTATTCACATTTAAAAGTAACTTTATTTTTCAAAATATGCGTAAAATGCTTAAAAAATATGTCGTTATGACCTTTTTTTGTACATTTATTTTATATTTTATTTCTTAAACTATTTAGGTTCGGTTGAGATTGTGCTATTCTGTTAGTAGTTTAAAATAATGTAAATCAAATTATGAAGTTTTTTGTGAATTATGCTTTAAACAAAATGAAAAATTGTTGAGAAATGTTTTAATGTTTATTCTTTCACTTAATTTAGTTTGAGGCAGCTTGGGCTTTAACTAATATAGCATCTGGAACGTCATTACAAACAAAAATGGTTATTGAAGCTGATGCTGTGCCAATCTTTATTAGACTTTTGGATTCAGAGTATGAAGATGTTCAAGAACAGGTAACATCAAATTTGTAATATATGCCTGCCCACTATAAAAAATAATGTTCTTGTATTTTATCCAGGTCATTCAAAAACTTACACACTGGCAGTCTTCAGCTTAGAATTAACAGAGCAAAGAAATATTTAAAAGATTTTTCATTATTTTTAATAAAAATCTTCTATTCTGTGATATTCTGCATTTCATTTTGCAGCAGTTTTATTTATATCATATTTATTGGCATAAGTAAAAAGTAATTGTGTAGAGCCTTGCAAACATGAATAAAAAAGCAGAAGTAGATTGTAAGATACCTAGGTTAATATAGGTCTATTCAGAAAGTAAGATTGAAGACACTGAAGGTTTGGTACCAAAAGTTCAAAAACAAGTACTATGACAATCAAGAAGCAGAATGCTGTGGCTTACCTACTAATGTTGATGAACCCCGCCAGCGAGAACTTGTGGAAGAAGATCAATATGCAGCTACTCAGAAGCTTACTGAGGAGTTAGACATTAGTGCCATCTCCATTAGTCGCGCTATGCATCGCATAAACTTGATGTGCAAGTTCAATCTCTGGATGACACATGAGCTAAATTAAGAAGATGACAGACGTGTTCGAGCCCGGACTAATCTGCTTGAATAGCAATGCAAGGAAAGAATTCTGGACCAGATTGACCAGACTGTGATGAAAAGTAGATTTACTTCAACAACACAGGCAAGAAAGGTACTGGTGCAGACCAACCATTGGCAGCATCACAAAGTGCAATTTGACTAACAAAAAGATCATTCTTTGTGTATGGTGGGATTGCCGTGGTATTATCCACAAAGAGCATCTGGAAGAAGGTAAAACCCTCGACAGTAAGGTATACAGCGAGCTGGTAGTATGTGTGGATGTTGGTGTCAGGGAAGAACGTCGAACTGAGTTCCTGCACAAAAAAATTAATGTTCCATGAAGATAATGTAAGACCAGATGTATCTGCATTTACTGGCTGGTCTCTGTGCAGATTTGAATGGGATTTTTTGTTACACCTACAATATAGCCCTGACCTCGCTCCTTTGGAATTCTACCCTTTTTCACACCTACAGCTACATCTTGCGAGTGGTATCTTCCATTCTGCGCAGGACGTCTGAAATGAGGTTATTCTGTTTTTGGACTCATTGCCATCAAGTTTCTGGGTCAACTCAGCTTGACTGCACCTGCTTCCTGGTGTGGTGTTAAAAATATTCTAAATCTTATTAAATTTATGTGTATTTTTGGGAGTTTGGGAAAGGAGGTATGGTCTTCTAAAAATGCTGAAAGGGGTGCATGGGGCAAAACAAATTGAGAACCTCTATTATAAAAATGTATATATTTATGTTTTAACACTGTTTTAAAATATAGTACAAAGTTCGAAATCCGGACGTCCAATATCTGGAATGATCTAAAATGTGGACCTCAAAACCACGAACATTTTTCTCGTAGGCGCATTTTCTCACATGCGCATTTGATTCTCCCCTCCGCGCATAATAAAACATCTGGAGAGTCCTGATTCTTAAGTTCGCTTCAACACTAAATAAAATACCTTGTTTCCGAAGAAACAATCATTTCAGTGTAAATTTGTATGATCAGTAATTTGGCTCCGTTGCTGCATATCTGCTTGACACGCATCTCAAACCGAAACATTCCACATAGATACATCGTTGATCTGATGCCAACCTTTCGAATCATTATTTTTTATACTTTCCTTTCATCACCCCATGTTTATCAACACTTGACAACTTAAATAATGACTCATGTAGCAATGCCTAAACAATTTTTTTTATGTTAGTAATTGAATAATAAAGGAGTATGGTAACCTTTTTTGTTGACATTATGCTTGGCAGTGATTACAGATTTAAGTAAAATGCACTAAAAAATGTTGACGAGGAAAAATTTAACAATTTCTATATGCTAAAAGTAGATTTTGTTGATGATACTCAAAGACCCAAAGATTAAATTTAGGGATATTTGAATTAAGAATAACTGATTTGCTAAATAACTAATGCAGTTCAGGCTTAATTGTCTCAGTGCTCAATAGAAGCAAGATAAAATTTAACGGAACAGCTTGTCGTTAGTCGCCAAGTTCATGATGCATAGCCAAATATGTATAGTGAACGATAGTTAAACTTGATGATGATAGCCACAAATTTTAAAGGTTTTATTTTGTAAAGAAATGTGGAGAAGTGGTAATAAATTAAGATGATATAAAAGAAGTTTTTCATTGTGATGACAATGCTTCTCAATCATCAATCAATTAATGAATTAAAATCTGTAGTATGGTTCTAGATCCAGAAAATACTGCTACCGATAGTGAAGAAAGTGACAGAGAAGTTACTGAAAACGAAAAAATTTCGATTGACAAGTTAGTCGGAATTCTCGACACAGCAGTTACAAGACTTCAAACAATGTAACTGAACAAGAGATTATGTCTGTCTACACAATTAAAAAGAACATATTAGCACAAAAAACAAAGCAACTTAAACAACTTGCATTGAAAGAAATGTTTAATAAGGTAAACAAATAAATATTAAGCTTTTTTTTTTTTTTTTTTTTTTGTAAATTTTGATACCCTTTAGATCATAAATACTTCATTCATTATTTCATAAATCACGATTTCATATTTTTAATTTTATAATTTCTACGTGCCATCTTACTTCATTTAAACTGATGATGTCCGGAAGAGTTCGGACTTTGTACTGTATTTATTATAAGGGCATGGTATCTTATTAATTAAATTGTGCATTTGGCTTCTTATAAATTTTAATATTTTGGTTTAGTATTTGATTTTTTTTTTTTTTTTTTTTTTTTTTTAAGTCTGTATGGGCTTTAGGAAATATAGCTGGTGACAGTCCTGAATGTAGAGATTATGTTCTAGAGCAAGGCATTTTAATACCTCTTCTACAGTAAGTGCTCTAATATTTTTAATAGTAATAGTGCTAATGTTAAAGATCCTTTAGCTGTAAAAATCAGTATAAGCTGTATAAATTTTGCAGGACTAGTTTTGAAGGTTAAATAGAATCTTCTTCTACAGCTGAAAAAGTTCTATTTAATCTTCGATCTAATCATTTGAATTTTACACAAATTATGCTGATTCTTGTTGTTATATTTTTAACATTTATTTTTTATTGTGCTATTTTAGTTACTGCTAATATTAGTGTTGTTACTCACATATTAAAAATATATAATGTTCAGCATCTTGTTTTTTTGAAAAACTTTTATGTTATGAAATGCTTTTTATTTGTTAGTGCTGATTTTTAAGTGTGCTTGGATGTATTTTGCTTCATGCAGTATGCATTTTAAAGGTAGTAAAAGAATTAAAATATATAATAGTGAATCCTCTGAGTGTCAGATGTGTCAGCTATCCCAATTTAGGCTGGATAATCTTGACTTTTGACTGCATTTCTACCAGACCGATTTCTTTTATTCCTAATCTATTTTAGATATTTATGTAATTTGGCAGAATGTTTTGTATTTGCGCTTAGGAATGCGATTTCTGGCATTTGAAATTGCTAGATCATGTATTAAAAAAGTATGTCTTCTCATCTGTGACAGGCAGCATATACATCTGAAAACACCATGTTTGAATTCTCCAGGGACTAAGTACAATTGGCTGATGTTTAGGTCATCTTGTGTATGTCAGCCATTAAGCACAAAGCAAGCTTGTGGCTGTTCTTTGCATTTCTGTTATCGATTCAAGAATTCTTTTTGTGGTTTTATACCCTGTAGAATTTAAATGGACAAATAAATGATGCTGATGGAATTTTAAGATATAGTGATCTAATTACCTAAAATAATGCTAGCCATCTTGACAGTCCTTATAGTCCTTATCCAGAGTGTGAGAGAATTTCTAGTGTTGCTACTAAAGTAGGGATTAAATTTAGTCTACTCTTAATGATGAACGTAAAAAACTTTCATTGCTAAAAATAGGCCTTTATGGCATTTGCAGAGTTTCTTAAAAAAAAAAAAAAAAAAAAAAAAAAGCAAAGTATGCCTTTGATGTTAACAATTTAAATTGATTAAAATAATTTTGTATTAAAAAAGTACAATTAATTTTTCTATAAGTACATGAATATTTTCATACTATTTGCATTCAAGAATTGGTAGCTGCCAGAGCCGGGACTAAAGTGAGGTCTTCACCTCAGTGCCAAATTAGCTGTGAAATTTTAGAAACACTTAAAAAATTAATTATGATTGCTAATTTTCAATTTTGAAGGTTATCAGGAAGCACTGTTTTAAAATAGCAAATTTAAAGCAATAAAAACGATGCTATATTCTTCCTCACTCGTGTGTTTTTTTAATTAATTAACCAAACCAAATGAAAATCTTTATTAACTGTTAATGGTTAAAAATTTAAAATGAGATAGAAAAATCATTATGATGTATTTTATATAATTTACAGCTTGTGGTTATTGCTTTAGATTTTTAGAATGGCTTAGATTTCAAATTTGTATAAAGCATCAAATAATAAATTATTTTAATGGGTTGGAATTATTAACTTCATTAAGCAAATAAGTTCAAAATTTTACGTATATACTTCTGGAATTTAATATTGCAATAAAAAGAAGTGTTAAAAGAAAGCCTTACATTCATGTTATACAAACTTAACAGAGGGATTAACCTAATATCAGATCCTCGTGAGTATGTTGGCTGCATGGGTGTTTTCATGTTTGCCCACAAGCGTAACATAATTATGAGATAATATCTCCTAGAATGTTCTCCATGAACTTTAAACCGAGAACCAAGAAACTTAAAAAAAAAATAATCTATGTATGGGTTCATATTGGATGGAATGCAGACAAAACCAGTGATAGCTTGGTAATATTTATTTTCCCCAAAGAAATGCTTTACAGGTCTGGAACATTCCACAAAATAGAATGTATATATATAGCTCTTCTCAGTATGATATAGCACAATCAGTAGTTACCACTTGAAACTGTTAAAAACATTAAGCACAATGCAATGCAAAAATGCATCTAAAGAAGGAAGCTCACACAGAGATTACTCAGTAGTCCAAAGTCAATTCTGAACTAAAAAACTGAGAGCTGATGCTCTCTCTGGTCTTATAGAATTTCCCCAGACGGTTGAAAAATTTCCAGTATCTATTTCCTAAAATTACTAGAAGACATGTATAGGGCCAGATACAGTTAGTTATATAGGGACTGGACTAAGATGTCGCCAAATGGCTGCCAGGTGTGGCGACATTTGGTGATTTCTTGTTAAATTTGGCAAAAAAAAAAAATTTTTTTTTTTCTCCAAAACCATCGCCAGATTGCTGCTATCTTGCAAATTTGGGGAGCTGCTATTTGCTTCAATGTTAAATGGACTTACCTTTGTAAACTTATTTTTCCAGCAGAGCTTTGCCTTTTTGAGTCATTGCATGTTACATTATACAAGAGATACTACAATTTTATGTATAATTTTACTAAAAATTACATATATGCAAAATTTGTAACAATAATTAAAATTTAAAAGAAATTATGCAAAATCATATCTTAGCCTCCCGAAAAAACTTTCAAATATCATTCTTCAGAACATAAGTAAATTTTGGCAAAAACATTATTTTCCATTTTATTTCAATTAAAGAAAGAAAAATTATAAAACTAGCTGGAATGTTAATGTCGTATTTTTTTATATTATTTGTAGTACTATTTTAATGTTTTCTGTTCAAAATTAGGAATTTTAACGCATATTAATTTCCTGAATACACAAAGTTATGATTAAAAATATTATGAGGTATGATTTTGTATAAATATTTTTGTTGAATTACATGTATACAGATACAACTAATTTGTATATAGGCATGTGTGCCTGTCTACCTTTTTTGCTTCAAGTGAAGGAATGGCTCTAGTGTTTGCATCTCATACTAAGTATTGGATAGTATTTAAAAGAAAGGGGGGACTTTAAGTTCTTGATACTTCTACCATTTAAAAGTTATTTTTATCATATGGAAAAGTCTTCAGATTTCTAAAATATAACTCTTAACTCTTGAGTTTGATAGGTTGGTAAGTATAAAGTACTGCAAATTTTGAAGTTTAAAGTGCATATTTTGTTACTGCAAATACTTTCTAAAGTAACAGTACAATCCAGCATGTCTTAATTTAGCTAAGAATTAAATGCAGCTCTTCTGAGATTTATTTCATTTCATAGTTCTTTACTTAACTTCTTCTTTTTGCAGAGTGCTAAGTAAAGCCACTAGAATGTCTATGACAAGAAATGCTGTATGGGCCTTATCTAACTTATGTAGAGGTAAAAATCCTCCACCAAAATTTGAACAGGTGTGTGTAAACTTCTTAATAGTTTTTTTTTTGGGGGGGGAGACATCTATTGCTTGTTCTTTTTTAATTCTGTGACAACATTTTAGTACAACCTGGAAACCTGGAAATAGGTTAACAGCTACTAAAAAGACTAGTAAATGTAATTACCCTTTAAAAAAATAGAAAGATAAAGAGATTTTCTCTTATAATTTTTTGTGGTATTAAAATCAGTTAAAAATTCTGCAAGAGACAACATGGATTGTTTTATCAGGAAGCAAAATTATTATAATGCATTTGATTATATAACATTTGACTCTTAATGCTGTCTCTAAGGTGTTGTCTTAATAAGTTATTGTGGAATATTTATTGTAAATAGAATAATTCATATTGACTGAAAATTTTAATGAATTAGATGAGACTTTAAAGAAAATTTGCGACAATGTTTTATAGCTAATTTCAGCTGAATGAAATTGAAGGAATAATTAAGAGACCAACAAAAGTTAGTGATGGGGAATTACTAATTTTTCCTTTTCAGAAATGGGATTCATATTTTAAGTGCAAAATCTTTTAAGTTGTCAATTTGACTGTTGTTAATGAACTATATTGATAAGGGAGACTTTTATATTCTATTGTAGATCTAATAGTGAATTTAAGATCTTAAGTTTTATTAAATAAATTTTAATTCAGCAAAATCTGTAATTTTGTAACTTTATTTTGTTGTATGTGAATTTACTGTGATGTAAATCATATGCATTCTCCTGCAGCATAAAAAAGGTACTTACATGTTTTCCTGTTGACTGTGAAAGTGTGCAGAGATCCCACCAAAACTTTGCTAGTGCTTTCATTGCTCTATTTAATTAGGTAATAACAGATCATAATTAATAAATACAAATTACTACAAGTTTCAGTGTTGAGATTATCTGACAAAGTCATTCATTAAAACCATCACCAGTCACTCCAGCAGCCAGATATAAAAAAATTGTTGCCTAACTTTATGAACTCGATGCAACATAAATTCTGTTAAATATGAAGCTGAGTGATGTCACACTACTTCACTTTGTCTTTTATTATGCCATTTTGATAAACTTCAGTCTTTTAGTGCTAATGCACATTGATTGCTGTAGTCATTTTCTTAGTTTTGGAAATACTCCACTGCTTGCAGTTCTGTAGAAGACTGTGTTTCCAAATTTTAGTCGTTTTTATCAAAATGTAAGAGAAATATCAGTTAGCTTATAAGCTTACAAAACCTAACCTGGCTTAGTGAAAAATCGATTTACATAAAACCAAAGCAAATTCTTATGAATAAGTTGCAACTTCATGCTTATGCATTACTGACAATAAATTGCACAATTTGGTGACATTAAAAACAGTCAATGGTAAAACAATTAAGGACCCATAAAAATAAGAAAATATGTAATTTTTCTATTTTGAACTATTAAGCTATTACTTAAATAAATGTAACTCAGTTATGCTTGTTATTGTTATATTTGTATCCTTGGAAAGGAATTTTATTATTGTGTAATGCTTTTATTGTTAGATTGTTGGCTTATTTGTCATTTCTTTTGGTCCTAGCAAAAGCAAAGAATTTGGTTTCATCTTTTAATTAAAATTTTAATTGCAGTGTTAATCTAAACTATTTTTAACTGTTTCGATGGACAAGACATTAAAAACAATTTTAAAATGTGAAGCATGCTGTTGATTCTTTTATAGAACATCAATATCATAATATAGTTTTTCAATATACATTTTATGAATTGGGGGGGGGAGGGAGTTTTCTCAAGTATGGCTGTTTAATTACTTTTAATGATAAGAAAAAGTACTGTTTGAAAATATTTTTATATTTAAATATTTTACTATTTAACAGCTATTAACAGAAGAATTATAATTTTATATTATTTAATTATTGAATTGATTCATTTTATTAAATTAAATGAAACATACCATGTAAGTAATAAATGATTTGATGTTTGGAACAGATTTCTCCCTGTTTGCCTGTTCTGTCCCGACTTCTTTTTCACTGTGATGCAGATGTTCTAGCAGATGCTTGTTGGGCTCTGTCGTATATATCAGATGGACCTAACGATAAAATACAAGCTGTGATTGATGCTGGTGTGTGCCGGCGTTTAGTAGAACTACTAATGTATGTATTTAAAAATTTATTCTCAGATATTTTGTCAATGTTATTTTGCATAAGAATAAGACTGTGTAAGTTGTCTAAACTTTTAAAATATACAAAGTTCGGAATGATGCAATATCTGGCCCTTCCAGACCACCAGTTTTATTTTATTTTATTTATTTATTTATTTATTTATTTTTTTCCTAAAAGGGAGAAAGAACTATATTCCAAAAGTAGCATCTAGCTTTAGTATATACTTAATGCACAATATACTTTAGTATATGCACAATAGACACACATGCACAATAGATATTTTTTAATAATAAAGTGGAAAAAAGTCCTGATTCTTAATATCAATTCAGTACTAAATAAAGCACCCCCATGTCGAAGAAACATGGACATTTATTAGCGTAAATCTATATGTTCATTAATTTATTGGCTTTGTAACTGCATTTTACTTGCCATACATCGTAAACTGAAATATTTACCAATGTTCATCCCTGATTTTACCACTACTGAATAACTTATATATTCCTGATGCCAACTTGGTGATAATATTTTATTATTTTTTGATTTTTATCACCATATGGCTATTATATCTTGGCTGCTTGAGAAATAATTCATACAGCAACATTTAAAACATTTGTTATTGAATACCAAAAGGGTGGTAACTTTTTTTTTTGATTGACATTACGTTATGGGGATGATTACTGACTTCAGCCAGCTGCGCTGCGAAGTGTTGAGTAGGCTCACAAGGGAAAATTCAACGGAAATTTCTTTTCATATGCAAAAATAGATTTTGTAAATGATTTTCATAGGGCAAAAGATAACATTAAGTGTTGTTTGAATAAAGAATAGCCATTTGTTATCTGCATAAGCATGTTGTTGTTTCCTATCCCTCTAGTGCGAGAAAGCCTCACCAAGTTTAAATGACCAAACTGCAAAAGAGAATAATGAACAGATTCCTGCTTGGTCATCAACTGTCCTGGGAAAATGCCCATGCATGGAAGGATTTTTCCACTCTGCACAAAGGTCAGACAATGAAAGTATCTGCTACGAAGTCACGCTAAGGCTGTATGAAAGGCACTGGATCTTCTGCATTCCAAAGAAATGCTGAGTCTCTCTGCTGCATACTGTTAGTGAACAAGAGGGCTTTTCCAGGTTGAATTCACTTTAACTCTGTGGAATGACTGAAGTTCTGAAGGACAGTGGCATTGGGAACAGAGAAGTCACAACCCCCCTTTAGTGTCCTAGTTTCCATATATGATGGTATCCATTTTAAACACACGTTTCTGACTAAGTCTATCCAATTTGGAAATAATATTTTGACCGGTACTTTCCATGGTCTTTGGCCAGTCCTTTAAATATTCAATGGAGCTCCTGTTGTCCATCAGGATCTAGATACTGTCCCTAGTAGAACATAGTTGAGATCTCTACTAATACCAATAAGTTCTGATCTAATGACAGAACAGTGGTTAGTAGTTCTGACGCTGATTTTAATATTGCTGTCGGAAGTGTTACTAAAAATGCCACTCTCTCCCATATCTGATCAGTTTCCATCTGTATAGATGGCCAATGCCTGCCCAGGAATATCATTAATAATTTCATGAGCCAAGTGTCAATAATTCCATATGGTGACTGTGATTGACAATACCAGACAGCATTTCCTCCCGGAAATCAACATGTTTAAAAGAGGTTTATAGGGGTAATGCAAGTAAAATGTATGGACATCTCAACATTAAAATCAATAAAATCATGTTTGCACTCATAATTAAGTGGACTCTCTTACTTTAACCCCTTAACTGCTGTGGAAAATGTACAAGATTCATTTCCCAGTGCCACGTTTTTTCCCCACACAGACGCGCGTAGGATGTATTAGGGGGAAAATAAGTGCAAGTTTTACTTTATAAAAACTGTTTACTTTCACAAATTAAAGAATAAAAGAAAAAATGAATGCACAAAATTTAATGTATTGAGAAAAAGTATAATAAAAAGATGTAAGTATAATAAAAATGATGTTTTTGTAATAAAAAAGATCCCTAAAATGGAGTTTCGATCAATTCTTTTTTAGACCAGTAAAGTGTAATATCAGGTTTCAGTGTTATACCTTGTGAAATCAGTATGCCTAAAAAAACATATATTTCTTCTGAACTGGTTGAATGCCACAATTTTGCTCTTGATTTTTCATTTGCAAAGTGTTGGTTCAAAACGGTTAGTTTTAGCAACAATATGAAGCACGAGCAGTTCATAAAAAAATAATTCAAAGAAGATAAATGTGTTTGAAACATCCATTATATCTTTCTTTATTCCTGGAACCTACTACAAAAAGTAAACGAAAACGAAGAACACAGAATTTAAAAAAAAAAAAAAAAAAAAAAAAAAGTTTTTACTCAAACAACATCAGCCAGTACTGCACAGTCAGTCACTTAATTCTTTCTGAAATTATCACACCCCAAGAATAGTATCCTCCTTCACATACTTTGTCAAGGTCATTGTGGTGTTGCATTCCAAAGCTTTGCGAATAATTTTACGGGTAGCAACGCAAAGCAAATGGTAGTAGTTTGGAAGGATGTATATATACGCTGGCAGTTAATGCATTGGCTGAGCAAGGCATATATATACGCCCGTAGCAGTTAAGGGGTTAAATCTTGAATACTTGTCCGGTTTAAGATAAAAGCAGAGATTCTGTTATAAGAACCAAAACTTTAAACTTCTCCCATATCCGATCAGTTTCCATCTGTCAGAACTTCATTCATATATACGCTGGCAGTTAATGCATTGGCTGAGCAAGGCATATATATATATATAATCACCTGTAGCAGTTAAGGGGTTAAATATTGAATACTTGTTCAGTTTAAGATAAAAGCAGAGATTCTGTTATAAGAATCAAAACTTTAAAGTTTATTGAAGTACTTCTATGATTTGACTTAAAATCTCATAACCAGTGGCCAGATGCATTAGGACAGCTGTGTCAAAGACTAGTGATGATTCTTACGCTAAGAAGCTACACTCTCTCCAGCATCTGAACCCCTATCACTGCTGATATATATTTTAAGATCCCAAGTCTCTTTCCTGCTTATCTCTTTATTGACTAATTTCTTAGTGTTTGGTGCAATTCACTTCAGGACCAAAGTAAAGCCAAGACAACTAGGATATTTATTACAATCCAAGCACTATCTATGTAGGAAAAACTCGGAAGAGTAGTTATAGAGGTGTCTATTAGTAGTAAAAAGGAGCCTGTAAACTTAGCAGCATTGAAGATGATTTTGTGGTAACCTGGACAGCTATTAAGAATCTGTTCAACTAGGATTCCAATTTACTGGTATTAGAATCATTGCACCATATAACATCATCAGCAAATAGTTCTTTTGTAAGCTGAGCCGTAGGAAGAGACGCGCGATGCGCGAGGCCGCAGTGTCCTTCTGCGAGAGCCTCTCTTTTTGCTACTAAGCCTAAATATAAGCCTAAATCCATGAAATTTACCGTGTATAACCACATATTTAAACGAGCGGCTTATGCTTTAAAATATTATATATATATACTTTAATTACCTCATTTCTGTTTAATGCATATTTACACATTTTATTTTAATTACTCGCCATTTTATGACTTTAACATTATAATCTGAAAACTAAATATTACTCAAAATTTCTTTTTCGTATAAAAATTTTAAAACAGGATTACACCAGTCCTACGTTACATTCGAACGTAATAACTCATTGCGTTTGGAGGATTTCCGGGAATGTGAACAAACGAAGCATAGTCTCTCATTTTCTTATCAGTCTCTTCTGAACAAAGTTTGGAAAATGTGTTCAGTTAATCTTCAGAATCAATATCAGATATCAGAATCAAATCTGAATATTTTGCATCATTTCTGCTATTTCATGCTCCGTTAAAATTTTCGACGCTTTCGACATTTGCAACGGTAAAAAAAAGAATATTCACGTCTAACAAGATCTAATTATTTTCTAAAAACTGACTGTAAACGGAAATACTCAAAGCTTTAGCGCATATAAAACTTCTACTTAACAATAAACACCACGGCGAATAAAATTCGATTTAAAGAGACATCATAAATCATGCCATTGGAAACATTAGTTTCGTTTGATATAATCAAAACACGTGTATGTGAGTCTGCTTCTCTCATTTCGAGTTAGAAGGTAATGTACATGTACCTGAACCATATGGACATACAGTGCCATCTTGTGGTAGAAATTATAGTTTGAAAAACGTTCCAGGATGCTGGCACAAATACGTGACAGTAGGTAGTAAACGGGAAAATGCTCTGTAACGCCTGCGTGTCGGCCGGTAGGTGAGTGTGTTCGTTGCTGGCACTTAGACGTGACAGTCGGCGCGAAGGGGTTAACCCATTTTTCATTTTCAGAAATAAACAAAGAGAATATAATATGGGATAAATAATGGGATTCAAAACTAAGCCCTGTAGGGGATTCCTTGATACTTTTTGCCGGAGCTCGATAGATAAGATTGAAAATTAACACAAAAAGTTCAATGATTCAGAAAGTGTAAAATCCAAGGCAGTGCTTTAGTTTAATGTTAAAAACACCAGTACACGTATTTAGAAGCTTATATTTTTATACTTTATTTGTTAGGAGTACTAAAAATGAGCTAGCTTTCATTTGCGTAGTTTTTTTTAGCAGACAAACGTGCTCACTGTCACACAGAAGTGCTAGGATGAAACACTCATTTCTTGGGTGTCACACTAGCATGACAGAGTGTTTTCTCATTCACCCCTTCCTCTCAGAGTTATGGAGCATTTTAGAAACTAATATTGTTGGCACAAGAGGATGTTATTTCTCTGTAGGATTAGATAATGTGGATTTGATCTGCTCGAAATGAGACAGACGACTCGCATGCAACTGGAATTTGATTAAATATATAAACATAATGCCCAAGGCACGTTTCTGACTCGCAGGCTTCCTGATGGCTGTTTAAATGCACTTGTTTTATTTGTTGATGAATGTTATATCCCCCCCCTAGAATGTTAGGGCTTTGGGTTTCTAATTGAGAATTTTACTTTGTATGAAAGGTTTCTGTTTTGAGCAGTGTCGAAGTGCGGAAAATTTTTAAGAAATTATGTTAATCTAAATCAGGTTATATCTGTAACTTTATCATTTATATGGGAAAAGAAATGGTTAAAAGAAACTAAGGGTTATATAAAGAAAGAGGGTACTATTCGGTTTTGAGGGCCATAAAAAATCGCCAAACTATTGTTGAAGCCAGTGCTGCCAAAAATAATTGCGGCAACCCTAATGCAAGAAAGGAAGTATAATAGTAAATAACTATCTAAGATTGGTGTTTTAATTTAGATAATTTCATATAATACTTTTTTATTATTATAATTTATATAAAAAAGGCTAAACATGACTGAATGGACACACAAGAGTAAATAACTGTTTCAGATCATTATTATAAGCCAACGAGATGAAATTATGCATAATATATAATGCAATGTTATATAACATTGTAATATTATATAATATTACATTATATATTATGCAATTATAATTATAATAAGCTAATATTGCAGATCATTATTATAAGCAAATTGCTAAACATAACTGAATGGATGCCTGCATCGCTATTTCGCTACTGAGTTATCGCTAAAGCATAATTTCATCTCGTTGGTTGTTTAAACATAATTTTCTATAACGAATGATGTTTTTTCTTTGAAAAAGTTCTCGATAAAGTACAGAATCGCCCACTTATTTGTTTGCCGCTTTTTAAAAGGGTAAAAACAATTGTATTTTTGTTAAATTTTCTTTTACTTTTTAAGTGAAAATAGGTCGTTGTGTACATAGATAAAGTGAAGGGTGTGGGCAGTGCCATTTTTGTGCAATTCTGTTTTTTTTTTTTTAAATGAAAATAGGTCGATGTGTACATGGATACCGAGTATGTGCAATTCTTAAAAATGCGTCAAGCAGTGGGTGATTCTGCACTTTACCCAAAATTCTATCCCATACTTTTCATCATGGGCAGTTCCCTCATTGTTAAATCCATAGGATATCAAAAAAGGATTTAAAAATTAAACTGATATTTCAATGGCGTCTTAAGAAATATAGAACTATCTGAAACCAGCGCATACTCTGGTTACGCAATCTGAAATCAGCGCATACTCTAGGTTTGGCGTGCTGTTAAATGGATGTGTTTGCTAGACTGGTGCTTGTGGGCAATTTTCTCTGCAATTTTTTTAGGTCCTCGAAACGGAATAATACCAGAAAGAATTGTTAAATCTCAACTTGAAGAACTTTATGCTGAAGGATACCATTAATATTGTTATGAAATGTCCAGGCAAGGCTAGATAGCTTCCCCACAAATCAGTATTAGGGTTGCTATAAAATGGCAAAGGAAGGCGGGATTGCCACATTTGGCGAGAAATTGCCCATTCAACGACAGAATTGGCGATGGATGGATGGAGAACCTTCTGGAACAAATTCTTACCGGTTTAGCCCAGAATGTTTTCAAACACAAGCCAAAAGCTATATAAACCCTGCTGGTATGTGGAGTCTGTGGACTTTAAAAGAGTCCATCGAGTTGATAGTCAGTCAGCGAGTGCAAGATGGTCGTCGAGTGCACCAAAAGAGTATCTTAGTGTATTGCGGTTAGTGCAGTATCGAGAGAGTGTGTTGAGTTCCGAAAACAACTGAATTGAGGAGTCGGGAGCTGTACTCTTGTGTATCATTGAGTGCATCTCGAGTTGTAGCGTAAAGAGTCTCGAGAGTACGTGGAGTTCTGAGAATGACCAAGCAGAGTCGGGAGTTGCCGTGAAGCTCTGTCTTCACCGTTATAGGCTGAAAAGAATACTGGCCAATAAAATGTGTTTTGATATTTCCTCGAGTGCTGTTCTTGTTATTCACTCCAAATCCGCTCGAACCCATATTTACGAACGTGAAGTAGAAGAAGAAAAATAACGTAACTATCATTTTTTCATGTCTCTATCATTTGCGTATGAACTCTTTTAGACATGGAAAAAGTACTTGGTGGACCCATAATGAGGTGAAGAAAAGAAATGACTGAAAATTTTACACCTCCCAAAATGGGAATAGGGTAAATTTTAGTTTTGTAGAAAAAGAACCTAAATGTAACTGCTTTCAAAGATAGACAAGAAGTGCTTTGTTCAAATGAAAAGGGTGTGGGTTATGAATGCTAGGATTGTTACATAGGACTGCTTTATTACACTAAAAATGAATTTTAGATAAAATGTTTAGTCCTCAAATGTATAACTTCAGAATATATTAAAAATGTAAACAAATTTTCTTTCTTGGGATTTTTTGTAGGTTGATATTTTTCAATGTCACATGTATTTGTTGTTTGAAGAATGACAACTATCTTTTATTCATGAGATATATTATTATTTCTAACAGAAAATAAAAATTGTATTACTGATTTTATTTTTTTTTATTTAGTGAAACATATGCAAAATACTTGGAGAGAAAATAAAAATGTGTTCAATTTGTTGCATTTTCATATAAGAAATCTCTCTCTCTAAAAATATATAAAAATATATATATGTAAAAAAAAAGTCCTTGCTAAAAATGGTTATCGTACTAAATTGGCAAATTTAATCATCCAGTCTGTAATCTGGAAATTTTAAATGTCACCAAAGGCTTATGTGACAGTTTTTTTAACAGGGAAGTATTAAAAAAATTTTTTTTTTGGCCATATAGTTTAACTAAACTTGATATACAGGGGGGGGGTTGTGTGTGTGGTAGCATGTGAAGAGTGTAAAATTGCCGTATATTTATATAAATTTGTAAAGTAAAATATGCCAAATTAAAAAAAAAAATTAGAGAATCTGTATTTTGGAAGTAGTCAATAGGATTTTATAAATTTGTATAGCTTAAACTGGGAACCTTGAAGCATTTTTTGAATAGCATATTAATTTAATGAAATGTATTATTTTTTCCTCTTCTTTTAAATTCACTGTTATTTTTAGGCACAATAGTCAAAGTGTAGTGTCTGCAGCATTAAGAGCTGTTGGAAATATTGTAACTGGTGATGATGTCCAGACGCAAGTTATATTAAATTGTAATGCTTTACCATGCTTATTACAACTTCTGTCTTCATCGAAAGAAACTATCAGAAAAGAAGCGTGTTGGACAATTTCAAACATCACAGCTGGAAACAGGCAACAGATACAGGTATTTTCATAGTTACTTTCAAATATAGGAAAGATAACTTTTGCTGTAAATTATGATTCATTGTATAGAAGGAAAAAAAAAAAAAAAAAAAAAAACCCTAAATGCATGGAAATTAATTTCTTTCAGTTATGGTATTTTTATTATCAATAAAGAATGAGAATGCAAAATATAAGGACTAACCAATGTAGTTCCAATTAAACAGATTTAATTTTAATATTTGATGTAGTCATTTTAAATTTCTTTACTGAGAAATTGTTCAATCACTTCTAATGTTTTAGGCTATAATTGATGCAAATATTTTTCCTGTACTGATTGAAATTTTGAGTAAAGGAGAATTTAAGACTAGAAAAGAAGCAGCATGGGCTATAACTAATGCAACATCTGGTGGATCACCAGAGCAAGTTAGGTAATTTTTTCCCCTCTGTTTTTAAATTAAATGTTTGATTTTTGAAATGTCACTTATTGCAAATAATCTAATAACATTTAAATGGTGTTTGTTATAATTATGAGTTAATGCATAAAAAATTATATTTTTTTGGTATATACTATATGTGTATGATATTTGATATGTATAATTTGAGGTACTTTTTGCATGTTTTATAATTTTACAATGTATTTATGCTTTGGAAATTTTACAATTCATTCGACATTTCTGATGTAACTAATATTTTACATTAATATGCATTAGTCAGAAAACAATCTTCCCATTAACTAAAGGTTAGCATTCCATATTTGTGTTACATTTGAAATGGCATTGAAAGGTTTTGATACTAAAATTGTAGCATTTAATAATCTGTCGTAAGAGTTTGTTTTTTAATGTTTTTTAAAAGAAAACACTTACTGCAACTTCGGGGCTAGTTTTATTTATTCTGTCAGTAGTTATAAAGATTGATGTACAGTTTATAATTGTAGATCTTTGAAAATTTTTCAGTAAATTCACACTTCAGTCGGTATTATTTTATAATTCATTGTTAAAATTTACAAACCCTGAAATGCTGACATTTGGGATGTCTGGATACTAGATGTCTGGTATCAGGACATCCCAACTGTTAGCATTTGTTAAGAAATTTTTTTGTGAAAAATAAGAACGAATTAGATTCTGAGAAGTAGCGTCACTTATTTAATGAACAGTAGACATTTTTTATAATAAATCATGTGGGGTGTTCAGATTCTTAATTTCGCTTTGGCACTAAATAAAACACCTCCATGTTGAAGAAACACAATCGTTATTAGCATAAATCCGTATGATCGATAGTTTGGCTCCATAGGCACTTTTTTTTGTTCAGCTTACGTCTCAAATGAAAACATTCAATTACAGTTTATTGCTGTATTATTATTTGCTTTTATCACCATATCTCTGTCAATTCATGAGCAATGTTTAAAACAATTTTTGTATTAAATATTAGTAATTGAATATCAAACAGCGTGGTAACCATTTTATGCTGATATTACTGTTGGTCACCATGGTTGCAAACTACAGCCAACTGCATTGCTAAATGTTAGGCCTGTTAACCCCTTAAGGACCAGCGTCAAGAGAACGAAGCGCAGTCACGGGACCGGACCCGCTGAAATGAAAAAAAAATCGACGCCACTGGCCTGCGCATTTTTAGCAGTTAAGCCTAATTTTACAAATAAATAAATAAAAAATAAATAAATAAAAAAAATCGTATAAAATCAGCATTTTGACATTATGACTTCAATTTTTGAAATTGAGTATTTAATGTACTTGTTTTTAATGTGTATTAATATAAAGAATATCACATTAATAGAAATAAATTAAACAGGCAAAATACTAAAATCATTACTATACACACAGAAATAAGTACTATAAAAATGAAACAAAAAAAATTTACAAATAAGAAATTAAAAAAATAATAATAAAATAAACAAGAATTACCTGTAGGTAGTTAAATTCCAATTTAAAAATTCTGCTGTGTGTGAAATAATTCAAAACAAGGATCGACACACAGTCCTACATTGCGTATTTCGCACTCAAAATACGTTGTTTGCTTTTGCTTTTCCTTGGTTTTAGCGCACACAACGCATCTTCTACTTTTATTACCTTTTCCGTCAATGTAAATTTTCGGAAACTGTCTTCCAGTTAGACGGAAACGTACAGTGTCCGGTGATTTTGGACAAATTTTTAAGTCTTTCGCCTTCTGTAATAATGTTGTAATGTTACGTTTTAATTAACCAAGAAAGCTTATGTTGAGTTTCAAAATAAAAAGAAAAAAAAAAGATCAAAATAAATAGGAAAAAAAGAAAGAAAGAAAATCCTAACGAAATAAACAAAACGCCTGTGCCCCTTTAATTCACAGGCGCACTTATAAAGAGCCGTGATTTCCAGTTTGTTTATTTCAATAAATCTCTCAAAGTCAGAAGCACAAAACAGAAACTAATACCAGTACATGAAGGTCAAATGCCATATGAATCAACCTATGTGAAAACAATTATAACTTAGCTCCATTTACTGGCTTTTAAAAATTCAAATAAATCGTTCCGTTTTAATGTCGCGTATACGCGACGCTGGTCCTGAACAGGTTAACAAGGAGAAATTTCTGAAAACAGATTTTGAAAATGATATTCATAGGCCATTTAGTGCTGTTTGAATTAAGAATTATTGACTTGTTTTCCCAGTGAGCCTAAAGGGTACTTTCCCATTATTCGCCTACCACACTTGTCACCTGAAAAATAATTTCATAAAAGAACTGGTTTATTGTGATTAATTATGAAACTAACTTACCAGTTATTTTGAAGTGTATCCATAGAGATAGGTATACATCATAAGAACTGTGAAATTAAAGGGCTGAAGGGAAAATAAATTTGTTAATGTATTTGTCTCATTACATCAATAATTGTCAGCATAAATAAAAACTCTAAAAATAATGGTTTTTGTGATTTTGCTCATGAAATCTGAAATCCATCAAAATGATGGGTCCTTTAAATATAGTGTGGACTGATTGTAAAAAACAAAGCTATTCATTTCATTTATATTTTGTTATTATTGTATACTTACATCATTTCTTATAAACATTGCCTCTAATGCATTTTTTATTGGCTTATTATTTACTTTTGTTAGTTTTTCACTATGCAAACTGGGGAGACAAAAGCATTCATCACTACAAAGGGGCAAAAGTCTGAATAATGATAAAAAATTTCATTTAAAACTTTCCTTAGCGCCTCCGAGCATTATGGTTTAGCTCTGAAATTTCAGAGTTCCTCAAAATGTCACACCTCAAAGTGGTATTTTCTTGATTTAAATTTAAAAATGACCTTGATGCATTTTCTCCCAATATACATCCAAACTGAAATCAGATACATTTAAAGCTAACAGAAATTTATATGTGTAATGAATATAGAAGGCAGCTTTCTATACAGAATTTTATGACCGTAACGTTGTGAGGGTTAAGTAATGTGTATAAAAAGGTTCTGTTTGCTAGCCATGATAAGGAAAAGGCTCCATAGATTAAACAGTTGAGAATCGAATTAAATCAAAATTTGTAAAATGCATATATTTCCTTGCTAGTTTATAACAATTTAGATGTAGTTATGCATGTTCTGCATTTATATATGAGTTATTTGAACTCTAGTGCTTTCTCATTTATACCATTGAATCATATTTTGCAGGTATTTAGTAGAACAGAATTGTATACCACCTTTGTGTGAATTATTAACAGTTATGGATGCTAAAATAATCCAAGTTGCCCTGAATGGTCTTGAAAATATTTTAAGACTGGGTGAGCAAGATGCCAAAGCACATGGAGGTCTAAATCCATATGCTGTCATGATTGAAGGCTGCTATGGTAAAGCATTTATTTTTATCTTATTGACTACATTGTGCAGTGAAATAAGATAATTTTGTGTCATTTTTTACAACGAAAAATTAAAATACTGCTGAAAGAATATATCACATTGTGAAATACAAATTATATTTAAAAAATATTGTGCTAAAAGTTTACTATGCAAATTTAAAAGGTATTTGTTATTTTCAGTTATGGATAAATATTGTTTTGGATTAATTTTAAACATATTTTTAACTGTTTGTAACACTGAAGAAGTGTTTTAAGTATATAACCATTTTTTTTTTCACCCTGTGTTAAAAATACATCTTCATAAATGATTGCCTATATCTGCCTTGGATAACAGAAATTCCTCTTATATACCTGTTCTTGTTTTCGAAACAACTCTGGCCCGAGACCGAAGGATAATCAAGGTAACCCTTTTGCGACGGCGCACCTTTGTTTAAGACGCTTATGCGGGGCGGAAGGGAATCGAAGGCAATCACCCTACAGGATGGGGGTTTTGCATCACTAAGCCTAAAATTTCACTTCTACCATCGTAATTTTTTGTATCATTTTAGATTATTACTCGAGCTCTTATATTTGTTAAAATTAGCATTTAATAACCTTTTTTTCCTTTATTTTACATGAAAATATATTTAAAAAATTGCTTATCTTGTAAAATAATTTTCGGAAGTGCTATTCAAATTATCACAAAATTTTAATTGATAAAGTCCATCAATAAAGTTTAAAGTTAATAAATCAATACAAATAGACTATTTACAAGAAGAAGTAGCAAAATTTAAAATGAAGACTGAGTGTGGTAAATCTCGAGGCCTGGACGAACTTTTAGAAAAAGTATCACTTTCTAACTCTTTAGAAATAATCATCACTCTCATCTGTGAAAGTAAATGGTTTATTAACCATAGGAGTGTATTCTTCCTCTGAAAAATAGTGCCTTCACACCATAATAGACTGGAGGTGAGGCTTTCCAAAATAAAAAGAGAGAAACCTGAAATATGCCTGAAGGCAATGCAAAATGTAACAGAGCTCTACATATTAATCCTAAAAGACTGTACATGGTAGAGGAAAAAATAGAATTAAAAAGGAATTGGATATAAATCTGACACGCGAGTGTTTATATTAGCACACCCCAATTTAAAGAGCCCACCTTGTTTACGCTCCCCCCCCCCACCTTCGCAACAGTTGATAAGTAAAATATCAAAGTCAGGCATAATATATCAAACTCAAGGTCAGGAACCCAAAACTGTGTCCATTTAAAAAGTAATGGACATAGGATGCCATCTAGTGGTCTTCAGAAAAACGTTCCAGCTTAAAATGCGTGTACCCATCACCCATTCTCTGAATGCAATTTCTAGTGATGCATGGATGGGACTCCCGGCTGTGAGAAACATTTTTACGGAATGAGTATACGGGCACCCGTCCTGAAAGGATAAAATTATGCTGAATGTTGAATCATCTGAAATGGAACTGTCTCAGATTTCTTGAAATTAATTTATATAATTTTTTTATTAATATTGGAAATATCCATAGCTACTTTGTGCATTTCAGATAATTTTTTCAGAAAAATTGTAAACTTTATTATGATAAAATTATAAATCTCTGCAATTTTGATATGCTTATAGTGAATATGCATAGAAGACCTTAGAGCAATTTTCATGAATATTTGGTTATTCATATTATGTAAATGAATTTTTTTAAAGTAAATTTTATGCAGAGTAAGCACAAAAATAGTCACTAATTTTGAAATAGATAACTTTAATCCTAATAATTTATTGCCCAAATTTTTACAACAGGTACATAAACTCAAAAAGTTTCTAGTGACATTGATTAGAATCATAAATACTCTATATATGCATCACCTGTTATGTGGTGAACATCGAGATGGTTATCTAGCTCCAACCACACATCTTAAAGTTTATCTGGTGTGATTGATGCATTTGGCAGCTACATGGATATGATCCTGAAGATTATTCAGGGTTGTGGATAATGGAGATACATAGACAATGTCTTTCATCAACTGTCAAAGATAGTCACATATGGTTGTCCGGTCATCATGGGGAGGTCACTTGCAAAAATGTTGATCATTGTTTTCAGCTTGCCCTATCCACCAGTATGGCAGGTTGTAATTCGGAAAGTTTCATACACCTAATTTCAGTTACACATGCTTCATATTTCTGTAAATTTTATAGTCTTGGAATGTTCATTTGAATTAGTAATCTGTCATGTTTTTATTTCTTCTCTATCATTTAGCACATGACATAGTTGGTTTTTACTTGATCCAAATTGCTGCCTTAAATCTTTCAATCTAAGTTTCTCAATATCTGCTACATGAATTACATCAACTTTTTGTTTTAATGTTAGTCTTTTCCTCTTTAAAGCCATGCTAGGTAACATATGTAAAAATTGTAAACAAATACAAAACTACATTTCTTTTGCTCCCCAGTAGTAGCAAGACCTGAGAATGCTAGAAATTTTCAGTCTATTCACATTTTGAGATCACTGTGGTTTGGCAAGTGGTCCAGTCGTCTTACCACTTTTTCTTTCCCATTGGTTCCTGTCTTGTATTGCCTTCCTAACACTGAGAACTTTAATAAGAAGAACTGGATTTTGAATTCTATGAATGTGAAACATCTTTTCTACCATAAACCGAAATTTACTTTTTCCTACTCTAGTGTTCCCTTTTTCCCTACTGAAAAAGCATTTTTCAGAAGAGAGGGATTAACTTTTTGCATTATTGTTCCATTAACTATCTTTCACTGAACACAGCCTCAAAAGATTACTAACAAAGAGGGCTCTAGTGTAGAATTGGGTGCCCCTTCGATTAGTGGCAATTTTTTTAAAAATTTTGGCAATGAAACTTCACTTCTGGTTACCATGATAGTTTTAACTGTGTTTTAGCTTCCTGATTTTATTTGAAATGAAAATAGATTGATGTGTACATGGACAAATTTAAGGCAGTGTGCAGTGCCTAGTTTGTGCAATTGTAGGATGTTTTTTAAGTGAAAACAGATCGATGTGTACATGGACACAGAGTTTGTGCAATTCTTTGGCTTATTTTGGTTTTGTGTAGCGGCCATCTTGAAATTGTGCCGACCTTGGTGCCAAAAAAGAATCGCCAAAAAACAAGGGGCACCCAATTGTAAATTTTTACCCTGTTTTTATTTATTTCTCTACCCCACCCTTATTTTTGAAACTTTTTTTAGTGGTTCTTAAATAATGCCCATTAATAAAAGGTAATTACATTAAGATCCATATTCGAAGGAACCAGGACCAACAGAATTATGCCATAAATAGAGGTGTGCCTTACTGGAAGTACTGCTGTATTTTAAGAAATTTAAAGACTTGTAAAAATAGTTCAGTGGGTGATTTCTGATAAGGCATTAAAAAAAGCTGAATAAAAGGGCCAAAATTATGTACCATTGAAAGGGATGTGTGGAGGTTTAACTGACTAAACTGTTTTTATAAATATGATTTTTTTATGAATTCAGTTTTAGAAACTCTGAAATGAAATATGTTATTTGTTAAATTAGATTATTAAAAGAGACATGATAGATATTTTTCTGTTGTTTTAGTATTTTACATGCATCATATGTGTATAATTTTTCTTTTCATATTATTAGGTCTAGATAAAATCGAGTTCCTGCAATCACATGAAAACATGGAAATTTACCAGAAAGCTTTTGACATGATTGAACATTATTTTGGATTGGATGAAGAAGATGCTCGCATAGCTCCACAAGTTGATCAAGGAAATCAGCAATTTCAATTCAATGCCCCCGATCAGAATATGCCTATGGGGGGTTATAGTTTTTAAGCTGTTATAATTATGTACTAAACTGTGGTAGGAAAACTTTGAATAAAACCATCCTATGCAGAACTTATCTTTTCTGGCTCTCCTAGGAGAAACTTGCAGATGAGGTGATCTCTGAAAAACAAAGTGCTCATGCATACATTTGCTGTAGACCCTTCCCTTCCTGCATGTGGAAAAGAAAGGAAATAAAGTGGCTTTATTTGTGCACCATGATGATCTCTCTGAGTGAAGTAAACTGGCAGCGTTCCAAAACAAATCAGTTTTCGGGTAATGTGAAAAGCTTGCATGTTGTACAAATCTGTGGGTTTCTTTCATGGTGGCTGCATTTTACTAGCATATTTTACTGGTATAGTAAAATTTTGAAGTCAGTATAAAAATGTAATAAGTATGCCTGCTTTTCAAGTTTTATAGTTCTTGTGTTAAAAATATTACATGTTATTAATAAATCCATCATTTAAAATAATTCATATTTAATAAATTATTTTAATGTAAAGGAAACTGATGTTTTGCATATTGTTTGAAGTAAAACTATCTGTAGCCATTTGGAATATAAATTTGAAGTGTACTGCAATTTTTTAAATTAATTTTCTAAAGAATTATTGAAATGTTTTCTTTAAATAAAAAATACAAAATATTATTCTGTTGTTAATATTTCTCTTGCCACTTTAGTAAAAGTTTGACTTCTATCGGTGGTTAGAATTGCTCTTGGGGGGGAAAGGGTTTTATAATTTATAATAAATTTCATTTCCATATTGGTTTCATGTTTACAGAAAACAATTAAGGTCAGTATTATAGTTCTAATTAAAAGTAGTTTTAAGTCTCTAAATCTATTATCAAACTGAAAAGTTAGTAAAAATAATTTAAGATGCACATTAATTAAAAGATTGTTATTATTAATCTTGTTTTTTGGAATTAATATGTTATTAATAATCTTGTCTTTGGAATTAATATGGATTAACATTAATGGAAAGAAGAAAAAAGCTGATTAATTTTCTTGAGACAATCATTGTAACTTGCAATGTAGTATAAAAGTTGCCTATCGATAAAAAGATTAAAAATGCACCCATTGCAGGTTTCTTATAGTACAATCTTTTGTATCGTTGTGTTTTGCTGTAATTTCTTAAAATATTTAGTTTTAAATTACAAAAAATGATGTGTCATAAAATTGTATATTTTTTATTTTATTTAAATTACCTCCTAATAATTATTTCCTTCAGAATGCTCTACATTTTTAGATTTTGTTTTAAGGCCACTGCAGATTTTAATGAGCTAATATTTTTATACGATAATTGTAACTAATAAGTTTATTATTCTAATTCCTTTGGTGTTAATGGTTGAATTGCATTATTTGCTGTATATTCAGTTCATTTATCATTGAACAGTTATGTCTGTATCAATTGATATATGTTTTAAATGTATGTACTTTGTGAGAAGTTTAGAATTATTTCTGTAGTGTGTATATAAATTGTGATTAAGATTTTGAAAGCACAAGAAAGGTATTTTAAGAGGTTGATTTGTAGGTAGATTTATTATTAGCTTTGTATTATAAGGCAAATAAATTTATATTAAGAAAAGGGGGTAGAATATACAGCAAATTCTTATACCATTTAATTTTTTATTTAAATCTGAGACATGCAGTTGCCTGTTTAGTTATTATAAGTATTTTCCCCCCTCTGCTTAATAACAGTATCTGCAAGTTTCTGAAAATGTCCTTTATAGTCATATGTTTTAAGTATATTATATTGAGAATTGAATTATTCTGGGATACACTATACATACAAATTATATATTCCACAAGTTACACAGCAATTACTTTAACAACTGAACATTATATACATTTTATTTCTCTCTCCCTTTTCCTTTTATTCTGTGGGATGAAGTAGGTGGCTAAATACTTCATGATTTTTTCCCTCTTGCATGGATGTTATGCTACTTTTCTTGTATTTCCCATATTAGCTTTTGTATTCCATTAAGCTTATCTGAGATTAGCATTGTATGAATTGATTCATATTAAATATTTCTTTGCTGCTTCCCTTGGCATTATATGCATTTGTGATTGATGTCATTGTATTATAATGCTGGCTTAAAATTTTATTATTAAGAAGAGTTCTTATTGTTAACTGATTAAGCTATATTATCTATACATTGTAACAGGATTAGTGAATTGTTTAATTATTTGTATTTGAGTTGAAGTATTCATAAGTAACTGATGCATGCAAATTAAACTTACCAGTAATCTCTCTAAAATCTGGCACCATTCAAGATGGAAATAATGCACAAATTTGTAGTAGAATAATGCACAAGTTATCAAACATGAAGAAAGTTTGCAAAAATAAGCAGTGTTGCCGTTCTTTAAATATTCTCATGCTGGTTACTAATCTTGAGTTTTGATGTAGCTTTGAGATGGAATTAACCAGTTACACATCTTTCTAAAATGAATTTTTTTTAATATATTGAAAGTGAGATACCCTGACTGTAGTATGATATTAACTGTTTGATTGCTACCCGGTGCAAAAGCGCTGCGTTCATTTGTCTCGAAAACCACGACTCAGTGCTTTTGCGCTGCGAGTTACAGTGTGTCTTTTCAGTGCTCCGTGGGTGTGAACATACATAGTCTGACCTCACGTGTACTTTGTAAAACGAGTGCATTCTAAAATAACTAACTGCGTCGCGGTTTTCGAGACAAATGAACACAGCGCTTTTGCGACGCGTAGCAGTCAAACTGTAGTACTAAAAATGGAGCTTACACAAAACCTCAGATATTTCTTATTCCATCCGTTATAGGCTGTGCCTTATATTAAAGCAGTAAATATATTTAATGCTTGGAAAATTTTTCTATTATATTAATTATTGTAGTCATTGTACGTATGTATAATTGTATTATTAAAGCATTTTCACTGAAGCTAATTTTCAAAGTTGTATCATCTTTATCTCATTTTTGTGTATTGAATTTTAGTAAGAAAAATTTCAATATACAGATTGATACATTTTGCAATTTGTATTTTTTGGCCAATCAAAGTGCCAGATTTTGTTGAGTCTGCTGTATTGTAATGCAATGACAAATATCTGAAAGTTATTTAAGTATATTGAAACTTTCAATTATGATGAAATTGGCATTTTTTGTTAGTTACAAGTCATAAAAATAAATTTAAAGGTTTCTATAATTTAATGGGCATTTATAAGCATTTTCTTGTTTTATTTTCCTACAAAAACATTTCTTCTAAAAGTGGCTTTTTAAAAATCCTAATTTTCATGTACAAGTGCCAAGGAAAAGACGAGTTAAAAGAAGTGTAGCAATATATTATGTGCTTATTTTTCTTTCATGTTTATCAATTTTGAATTATGATAATTATTTTTTGATTAAAATATTTTGCAAAAGGAACTAAATATTAAGAAAAGAGACTTTTATCATATTTTGCTTCGAAAACAAATATTTGTAGTTGATTATATTGGTTCACTTTTGTGATTTTTATTTCATTCAGACAGTTTTGCTCAGCAATATACACAATCAAAAGTTTTTGTATTTTATATTTACATAAGTGGATAACTTACTTTATTTGCAAAAATATTTTATTTCATTTACTTAATGTTTATTTTTCTTCTACAATCTACATAGAATAATTTTGCACAATATTTGTCAGTTTTCTTATCTCTCTTTTCCATTTATTTATTCTGGTTTCGTTCTTCATTTTTTTCTTTCTCTTTTTATTGATATCAGAAATTTCAAATTGCCAAATATTTTCAGTCTTAAGAGGTATTCTATACTGCTTGTTACTTAATCTGTTGTGTGATTAAATGTCAAAATATATTCCCTGAAACCATGTTAGCAAAAGAAAATCTGTATTTTATTTAAATTAATCAATTAATACTCATTAAAGTAATTTTTTATTGATATTATTTTTAGCTGATGCAACAAATTATATCTTCATACTTCAACAGAGTACCAGTGAGTGCCATGGTATTTTTATTCTAGTCTTAAATGTAAAACAGTGCCTTCACATAAAAACATTTAAAAATTTGAGAACATTTTTTGTAAATGTAGTGTTATGTAATTGAGGTTCATCATTTAAAGCAATTCAACTGTTATAAATGCTTCAGAATTTTTTCATTAACTAACTATGATTTTGTTTTGCAGCATTTGCTAAGATTTGGCAAATACTGAAGGCACTGTATTTGTTTTCTATTAATAATAATGATAATGTTGATGCTGGTGCTTGTTTTGATATGAGTTATCAGCTTAAAAATATTGGCTAATTTGCATATACAAAGTTCTATGCATAAGTTGCATAAAGTGCTTTGTACTCCTCATTTTAAAATAAATAATGTAGTGAAATTGAAGATGAAGGTGCAGATGCTTCTGTAATAGTGCATATATAATCATCTACTAATGCTCACCTTATTATGTTTGTCTCTTTTTATCTTAAGTATATATATTTCTCTTAATTTCACTTTTTAAAGATAAAATCTTGGTGTGTTAAAAACTAATTTTTTAAAAATATTTCTAAATGCTCTTCTTTGAGAATACTAATGTTGTCACATTTTATTGCAGATGTTTTATAAAGGCATTGTTTGCGAATGTATTAAATTTTTATATGGTTTAACTGTAAATAAGAGATACACATCTCTTGAAACTTTTATTTAACCTAAGATTTAGACCAAATGATGAATTCGAATTAAATTTAAATATATAAGTATTTATTATTTACTTTCATTTTTTATAGGAATAGCAATATAACCTTTGCAGTGTTGTAGTTCACATAATCACTAAAGAATTTTTTTTTTTTTTTTCTTTTTTAAACTTCTGTCATTGGTGAGTTGCTGATGAGCATGATTCTTTTCTTTGCTTATCAAAGAGTAAAAAGAAAAGGAATTTTTTTTATTAAAAACAATTCTGGTAATCTCTTGATATAATCATTCTGATAATCTCTCATGATATATATTTTTCTTAGCCCCCCTTTTTTTACTTTAATTCTCTTAAAAGTAAAATATTTCGAACTAGAAATGATATAAAAGATATAAAATTTCTTCAGTTTTTAAATAGATTCCTTGCTTGGATTTTGTATAACATCTAGTCAAATCTTATTTCTTAAGGAGAAGAAGTAAGAAAATGTTAAAAGAGAAACTTGCATTTTAAAAAGTTAAATTTGTTAAAAGTGAGGTGTTGAAGCTATATTTGGGGAAAAAAAATGAGAATTTAATTTTAAAATTTGCTTTTGGTTTTATTAAGTAAATTTTTTTATGTATTGTAATTTTTTCATTTCATTAAATTTTTTTTGCTATTATTATTAAAGTTAGTTTAAATTTATTTCCAGAAGTTTTAATGAGCAGTTTAGGAAGCATTTGCTAATAAAAATGAAATTGTTTTCTTGTATTGTATCAAAATTTCTTACTTTTATGTAATGGTTTGTACTTAGATATACCTGGCCTAACTTAAAGGTATCAGAAAACCAGTCCCTCAGTACTTGTATTTTATTGTTTTGGCACATGTTTGAGTAGCCTAAATTGATCTACAAATATGGATTTTTATATTTAATGCTATAAAAATAGGCATTTTCAATCAGCATATATTTGTCTTATTACAATGTTTTTTAAAAAAAATAGAATGACAGTTATTTTCACATGGCTTTTTTGAAATCTGAATTTATTTAGATATATCTAGAAATCGATAATATAAAAATTTGTTTCTTCTAATAACACTGTTTGTGAATTAAAATTTATAGAGTTATGAGGAAATCTCTTCTTCAATTATTCATTTACATTATTGCTTTCTTAACAGATAAAACTGAATTATTCAGGTATCTTTTTTTTTAAGTGTGTAAGATTTTATCCTTTTTTAGAATAATTCTGAATTTGTTAGATTTTGCAGCCTCAAATCTAAGTGCCATTATTTTAAATATGAGTACTGTGGTATGGCTTTTATAGACAGAAAATTTTTTATTTTATTACTAAATCATGTACATTTGTTATTCTTTCAATGTTAATAGCTTTGTGTAATTGCTCAGAATTCATTTGTTTTAGTCTGTAATATACTGAGATATTTTGGGGATAGATCATGATTATGAATTATTTTCATTTCTTGAAATAAGAAAAATTTGCTTCAAGCCATCCTATTTTTTCCCCCATTGCTCCTGTTTCTTTGGTGCAAACACAAATTGTCGCATGACACATACTTTAATTGCAGATCTTTGAGGCCTGCAATACTTGTCCACAAGACATATGTACATAAACATTGTACACAAAACATGTACATAGTCCAACACTGTACACAATGTATAACACAAACATGTGAATTGTTTACTAATGTATTTCAGACAAAAATGTTTGTTCAATAAATTCTGTGCTAAACATGCTGTATATGTTTTATTTTCTTTCGTATTTTCATTAGATAATCCATCAGAAGGGTTAAGATGTGGCAGTAATTGTAAGATAGATTTTTTTGTGCTTTTTTAATTATTTGCAAAATTTATTGAGCTTTGGAAATTACTTGGGATATTTGAATTAAAGTTATGTGCACATGTCATTTAGAATGTTATTATTAAATATATATTTAAAGAAACACTATTACTAAATATATATTTTAAGAAACACTATTGCTAAATTTTGGTATAATATTAAAAGAAGAAAAAACTGCAGTGAAACTGAAAATAATTTTGTTTGAACTCAGCTTTGTTTTTGGTGTGTGTAGATGTGCCAGCCTTAAAAATTTGGTGTCTTATGGTTTCTGATACAAGAAATGTACTATAGAGCAGTCAGAATCAGTCCTTGCTTCTGCTCGCAGATTGAAGTGATTTTTTTAAAATTGGATTCTTAGCATAAATAGAATGTTATAAAATTTCTGAAACTAAAAAAAAACACACCTGATAAAAAAGAAAAATCATTATATTTATAAATCAGAATTTTTAGCTGCTAAAAAAAAAAGCCCAAATGGGTTATTAGTCTTGAAATAAGATTCGGTGGCATATCATTTTAAATGTCTGAATAACTTTTCAAATTGTTGCCATGAAATATTATCCCCCTGTGTATTATCCCCTAAATAAATTTTGTTGTGATATCTCTTGTCTTTCTTGGTGTTGCAGTTTGGGTGGCCAACAGTGTATTTATGGAAATGTCAGAGGAAGGATAGTGGCCTACCGAGAGTGTGGATTATCTTTCAGGCAAATCGGTAGTCGTGTTGGACAAAACCAAACAACCGTAATGTGGACATGTGACCATTGGATGCAGGAGGGTACGACGGACCGACGTGTTTGATCGCATTCACCTCAGTGCACCATTTCACATGATGACAGGAACATTGTGCGCATGGCAGTGGCGGATCACTCAGTCACATCACGAACCATAGCACAGCACATTCAGTCTAACGCATCATCCAGTGTCTGTACGTACCATTCGACGCTGTTTACAGCAGAGTGGTCTGTCCGCAAGACTTCCATTGCTTCTTCTACCCTTGACTCAGAACCACAGACGTCTCCGCTGCCAATGGTGCGATGAAAGAAGGATGTGGATGGCAGAATGTAATGAAATTGTCTTTACTGATGAGTCATGCTTCTGTCTGCAACACCACGGTGGTTGGATTCGAGTCTGGAGACACTGTGGAGAGAGGATGCTGAACAGCTGCATTATGCACCACCACACTGGTCCTGCACCGGGTATTATGATATGGGGCTGTATTGGTTATCACTCACACACTCCTCTAGTACGCATTGCCGGTACTTTAAACAGTCAGCGCTGCATTTCCGAGATGTTGGAGCCAATTGTCCTTCCTTACCTTCAGTGCTTGCCCACAGCCATATTTCAACGGGATAATGCGCGACCACATCTGGCACACATTGTCCGAGGGTTCTTCCGTCAATCGTCAGATTGCCAGATTGAATTGCTTAACTGGCCGGCTCGCTCTCCTGGATCTTTCACTCCGATAGAAAACGTGGTCCATGGTTGCTGAAGGATTGACCCAGATTACATTCCAAGCTGCCACACCAGATCAACTTTGTCAACGCGTGGATGCTACATGTTCTGCTGTACTCAAGAACATATCCAAAGTCTCTTTGAATCAATGCCAAGGCGTATGGAAGCAGTGATCTCCAACAATGGCAGCTACTCTGGCTACTGATTCTGGAAGGAACCATACTTCACAGAAGTCTATAAATTTAATCATTTGATACTTGGTCAACATGTTATCTGCTAAATAAATTTTGTTGTCTTTTGTCTTTCTTGGTGTTGCAATTTGGGTGGCCAGCGGTGTATTTATGAAAATGTCAGATATTTTAAATTAAAGCATAATTTAATATTTTAATTACATTAGAAAAAATAATAAACCATTTAAGAAATATTTAAGTACAAAAATGAATAATTATGAAACAAAAATGTTTCTGCAAAATAAAAAAAAGTGTATAAAGCATACTGCAGAACAAAAATTTGAAGAAATAAACAACATCAATAACTTAATTCTAATCTAATGGATGTTTTTCATTTTGTACTTCACTAGCATTTGAAATAGGACTGATGCTCTGTGAATGAATTTCGCCAGCACCTTGCTCGTTGGCTTCACCTTGGATTCGAAAATCACTTGAGGCGAGCCAGGCTGATGTACTCTATGTCTACGAGAGGCTGCCCATTATTCATCTTTAATCACATGGTGTTAGCAAAATGTAATTGTGGTAGAAACAGCGATGGTCTGCAGGGAACAGTTTTGGTCTGGCTTATTTAATTATGGCAAAGCACACGAGGTCTTTCTAAGCGAAACTGACTCGTATGCATGTTATATATGCTGAAAATGCCCATGCAGCCAGACCATTCGTTGGAATTTGAATTCGAGACTAACTACCGGTGTTAGCAACTTTACTGTTCAGCCGCTGGTGGGCTCTTCAGGGAAGGAATGAATTTAAAAATATTGTTTCTGAATTTCAAAAATATGTATATTATGGCCAGAAAACTGTATTGAAAAAAGTAGCAATAAGTTAAATTTAAATGAAAAAAAAAGCTGAGCACCTACAGTGCTAATTCGCATACAACAGTGATCAATGTTAAAAAATTCAGGAATAAAAGAGTAATCCCAATCCATGAATTGGCAAAAATTTTCCCAAGAAATATTCGTCAGGCCAACTTCTGCACATGCATTTATTTTTAAAAAGGGAGTTGACCTCAAATAATGAAATGTAATGATTTTTTTTTAGGTTGACACTATAGTAGGATAAAAAAATTTAATAACTTGTTCTCTTAGCTGCTTATGTAAACCCAATTCGAATAACATGAATATGCGTGTCAGTAGTGTGAAGGTGTAAGCTATTCCAACTGATACCTTCTACTGTCTAATAATTTATTTATATTTTTATTTATCTGTTTTACTTTTTTGGGAATTATACCATAACACCTCTATCTTTCCGTTTTACTTTTTATATTAATGTCAGAGCGTTGCCTATGTATTTTTTACCTAAGGCAAATATGTAAATGCACGGCCATATATACCAGATGTCTGGCTGCTGACTCTTGTGTGCAAAATGAAGAGAATTTGCACATTATGTCGGATTTCTGAAAAACTTATGAACGGATTTTAATGAAATTTTGTATGAGTATACATTTATAACAGAGAAAGAAATATATTATTCAAAAGTCATTTTATGTGCTCATGATTATCGACAGAGCTCATAGTGCAGCCATGTCCAAAATTTGCATTGTGATATCAAACTGAAATACAATCTGATATGAAATACGGTTCCCTTAGGCCCATATCACACATGTATTTGTTTCATATGAACAACTGTTTCAGACAATTTTTCTGCCTGGTTTACACACGATATTTTCCTTCCTTTCGAGGGAAAAAAAAAAAAAAAAAAAATTGTGAGTTATTCGTTTTCAACCAATCGGCTATTAGCTTGTTTGTTATGGAGAACCAGTTTCCCCTTTACATGTGAACCTAAAGTGACCTGTGGTGATTGGCTGTTGTGACAAAACAGAAAAGTTGTTCTTCCGAAACAAACGGATGTTTGATAGCAGCTTTACACAGCCAGACAAGATCTTTCAGAGTGATATACTGGACATGAGGCAACTGAGGAGCCCTTATGGCAATTGATCCCACTCCTGCATCAAGGCAGTTTCCAACTCCGGAGCGGTTCTCAGAGGGGGATAGCGAGATGAAATTTCCCACTCAAGATCTTCCCACACATACTCTATTTAGGGTTAAAGCTAGGAGATCTAGCTATCCAATTGAGACGATGAATATCTGACTTGATGATATATGACCAGGTATCGACCAGCCGAGACCTATGTGGACAAGCATTGCCGTCTATTAATTGGAACCAAGAATCAGCTGCGCCCCTAAAACCTTTGCCAAACACACGCAGGGATGTATCTCCATTCAACGCAATGCCTGCCCAAACCATTACACCTCCACCACCGTAATGATTCATTTTCCTGATGAGGGAGGGATGGTATGGTGTTCCGAGCTGTCTTCAGATATACTGGACTTGTATGCACGTCATCAGTGTCCAAGCTGAATATCGACTCATCTGTGAAAAGTGCGGTGCTCCACTGAAGATGACCAAGGTGCATGTTGTCTGCACCATGTTAAACACACTTTTCTGTATACTGCATTGAGCGAGATGCAAGCAGTGAGTTTTGTATCTTACGGGCTGTATCTCATAAAGCCTTTGGAGAACTGCAGACCGTGAAACTTGGGTTCCAGTGGTAGCATGCATCTCTTGTGAGAGCTGTAAAACTGTAGCAGTGTTGTGTCGCTAAGTTAAAAGACTCAATTAAAACAATTCATAGTTTTCATTGTGGATCTTGGTCGACCTTCTCCAGATCTTTTCGATATTTATCCAGTTTTCTGAAACTATTCTTACGAATTCGAATCAACTCCGGGCATTACACTGAGTTCTATAGCTATCTGCGCTTGTGAAAAGTCTGCCTCCAATGTACCGACAATTCTCAATCTCATTTCATCATTTATACGTTCGTTTCTGCTCATTTTACATGATACCGTATAAAATTTACCCAACTCTTGCAAGAAACACGTCGAATATTGGGAAAGAGTATGAGCAGACAAATCTCCGAAAACCCCTTGTGCACTTATATCCCTTCCACACTCACAGCTTTGCACATATGCAAGTATACGCTTATGTATTCTACTTTGAATATTTACATTATTCTTCGAAGGCATTATTAATACCTTTGGTTCAATACTTATTAAAATAGGCATAATTTGCGAATTCTGATTTTGCCTTCGAGTGTATGCATATATACTCGCGTATATTTACATCTATATATATCTATTTATACAGTCAAAAGTCGTTAATTCGGACACCCATAATCCGGAATGATCTATAATCCGGACCTCAAAGCTAGAAACTTTCTG